CCCTAAAAAAACACAAAACAGAAAGGAAGTCCTCCCTCCGATTACCGCACAGTGCTGCAAATATCGCAGTCTTGAGGATTTGTGGTTGCAAGCTGCCCCAGTTAAAGGGAGCTTGAAAGACATGTAAATTAGTGACGCCAAGTTCACATTTCAGGAATGCAAATCAAATTGATAATAACGTGAAGGCTTTATTTTGTCACCGTGAATTCCCCGGGATGGCGGTTTCTAAAATGACTAAAAATGCATGTTTTATAGCAAGGCAGCTTTTCAGGAGCTGCTCTCGGTTAAGAGAACAACCTCATTTCTGTGATTAAGACATGAAGGGAAAAGAAATAAAAAGGCTAACAGAGTCAAACCAAGTCTTCCAGGTGCAACTCAACCAAAAAGTGATGTTTGGGTGGGCTACAGTAGCTTGAACCATCTGGAGCTACCCGGTGGTACAATATCCATCTCGCCTCTCTGGTACATACCCAAAAAACTGGATTCCTAATTTTTTGTCAAAAGAAACCTTTGGGGAGAAAGTTCTGGTGTGTAAGTTCTAGTGGTGGCACTCGATTTGGGTAGCGCCAGTTGGCATGGACCCAGTGCTGAGGGGGTTTAAAAGGGTGGTGACATTTGAGAGATCATAAATGGGTCCTACGCTACTGAAATCCATGGTCGAACCTGTTAGGCTATGGTCAGCAAGTTAGCATTAATGTGTAATGGGTGAGGAGTGCCTTGTCCGATGATTTAAAAGATCTTGGGGGGAATTTATCAAAACTGGAGCAGACAAAATCTGGAGCAGTTGCCCATGGCAACCAATCAGCTTATCTCTTTAATTTGTTCAGTTAAGGCTTGAAAATGAGAGTTGCTGATTGGTTGCCATGCACAGCTGCTCCAGATTTTGTCTGCTCCAGTTTTGATAAAATTCCCCTCTTTGTATTTATGATTAAAAAAAATTGTTTTAATGGTGTAACAATATTGTTTGACTCTACAAAGGCCAGAACTAGAAATGCTGGCGTAGCTATCTTGCCACTAAAGTCCCAATGAGATACAAGAAGCAAGTCAATGTGTAATGATTTATCTCGGCTTGCAAGGAGCCATGCCAAACTCAAATGCCAACTGAGTAGGCCTTTAATAAAGATAATGTGGACAGTGCAATACACTGTAGTAATCTCCATATTAATGATTATTACCTATACTAAGCTGGTGGGAAAAAAAAATCTAAAAAAAAAAAAAAAATCACAATGGTTGCTATACACTACGGAGCCTACCCACCGGTAATGCTTTCGGTACCATGTTTCAAAGTTTGACATTTCTCTTTACTGTTAAACATGTTTATTATAAAACATACCTCAGGTAGACAATACTCTATCAGACAGCCTGGCTTTTCCCATAACGCAAAGCAAAAGGACAGAAGACAATACTCAGCACCCAGACAACCAAATTTGTCTTTTTAGAACAAAAAAGGTTGCCTACTGGTTGTTATGGTTAACTGCACGTTACATATTACTTTTTACTCTGCTAAATCTGCCTCATCATATTGATTTTATTTATTTTCAAAACTCTACATTCCTATAACAAAAAAAAGTTACATACCATGACCTGCATAAATTACAAATCATCATGAAACAACTTGTCAGAACCATTAACAGCCCCGCTGCTAGTTATTAGACAAAGACGCTTACCTTCTGTACACTGCAAGATGGCGATAAGAAGGAACAACCAATGGGTTTGCATTCTGCCGCCAGGAGACACCATTATTGATCCCTCGTAATGATTTCTTTGTATTCCTTAAAGAATCCAGTCAGAGAAGACCAACTTCATTGAGGAGAGGGGTAGACATTATTCATGCCTGAAAGAGAACAATAGATGTTCAGTGAGATAATAGACAAGGAAATAAAACTCTACACATTACAGAGCAACTGTATTAATCACAAGCACTGGCAGCCATTTTGGAAGCTGGACGCACAATGTAACATATCTAGGTACATCAAGGCTGCCATTTTGAAGCCCAAATGTATTCATCAATATAGCCTACTGCTGCCATTTCCCCCACAGATGTTGCTTACTTCTAGCAAACGTGTTTCTAATGAATGTTTCTTAAAGCTAAACTAAACTCAGAAGTTAAATCTTAAAAATGCATTCAAGTACTTTATTAATAAAAACATATTTAATTTGTGTATCACTCAGCTTTAGATCCTCAAATCATCTCTTAACTGGTGCTGGAACTGTCCTTCATTCTGGAGGGTGGCTAATTGTGTTACCCATGGTCCCCCTTGTGTGTTGTAAAGTAGCCACCGCTCCAAGTTCACTCCCATGATGGACTACAATCTAACATTTAGTTTACAAATTTATATCGAGATAAGGTTCAATTTTATTAATAGTTAAAAGGTACTTGAATGTATTTTTAAGATAGAACTCCTGAATTTAGTGTAACATTAAGCTGCACAAGATTGTTTATGTGGCTTAGAAATGAAGTTTATTTACCAAGAACTGACATAACTGAAGCGGTAATCATTATGTAAGCGGTGTTAATGAGAATTCAGCAGATCACGCCAGCGATACTGCCGAAGCAACCTTTACATTTATTCCGAACGATGGGACTCCATGAGTCACTTGTCACCAGTATATAGGTGACAGGTGCACTTTAACTGACCTTACTGACTGTCTTGAGTCAGGGCACAAAAATTAAAATATTTGTTAAAAACAGGATATTCCAGCCGAGATGTAATGCTACATTTACACATGGTACAATTTCTTTAAACAATAGGAGGAATAATGCTTAAATAACTCTTAGAATTCTATGCATTCCTAAGAAGTGCTCAGCCTGACGAGTTGAAATTCTTTCCTCAAAGTTCAGATAATACAATATAATATGTTACAATATCATGTGCAAGACTAAAGCCAATACTGAGTCAACACAAACAAAACAGTTTCAACCGATCACACTGAAACCTAATGTCATGTGCATGGGAAAGAGAAAGCATTTGGGGATGTTGAGTAGATATTTTTGCCTAATACGGCGTATATAGTTTCAAAATATTAGGGTAGTCCAGAATTGTGTCAGACTTGCAGTAAAAAGAGTAATGGTGAACAGCAACCCTTCGCAGCAAATTAGACTTCTGTGTCAGTTCTTTTTTTGGCCAGCTTGCACACATTGGGAACACCACTACAACCCAATGCCAGATCCAGATCAAAACACAGATTTCATCACCCACCATCCCCTAAAGGGAGCAGCTTGATCTTCCAAAATGCGACGGCAATACAGGTCAGTCAGACTGGGCAAAAAGAACTCTGACAGCAGGCTGTATGCGTTTTCTGTTTGCTTTGAATGGTTTGTTGTGACAACCGGAAGAGCATGACCACAATAAAAAGCCCAATAAATATCCCACTGCACTCCTTGCCAGTATATCCCTTGGGGATGGGTGCTAAAGTGACTGTGTATGGCGATGCTCACATCCAAGATGCTGCAGACGGTCGCCAGCACACCGGAATTAAGTGTCCCAAATTATCTCTATTGACACAAGAAAGCTTTCTTTGTGACAAGAGACACATGCGTCAAAAAAGACAAGTTTGGACACTTGATTCCGGTGTGCTGGTGACCTACCGCAATAAAAAGCCAACGTGGGTTCTAGCCTTGACCTATGTAAAGGAAAATAAATTAATCTCTCCACTGCTGTTGAAGTGAAACCCTCACTTCCTACCTGGTTACTAGGAAAGGAATTGAGGAGGGAAAGCCATAATGGAATACCGGAAAGCAATAAAAACCCAACAGAGTTTTAATAGTTTGCCACTCTATTCAAAAGTGAAAAAGAAAATGGCTGAAAATGCACTTTATTCCTGAAGAGGGAAGGGCTTTGATTACGTTTTTGGCAATATAAACTATATGTATATGGACAATATATATTATAATATATACACACATATTATAATATATACACACATATAATATATATATAAAATTTATTTTAATATGATATATGTATGTGTACTATAGGTATGCAATTTGCTATTGATGTACCACAGCTAACAGGCTGAATGTCCTGTTTTGCATGTGAAGACAGGTCTACTACGGGTATAATGGTACAACAAGTACACCACTCAAAATTCGGCACATGAATTTACTGAAAAATAATTTCTCTACCTTACAACCAGAGTGACTGACTGACTATCGTAAATGACTTTCCTAATGACAGCCACCCGGACAAAAACACAGACCTTTCTGATATGAACCCATACTAGAATCTTTTCAACAAAGATCTTATCATGCTCTTCCTTTGTTGAGTAAAGGGCCGATCATAGATGCTATAATGCTGACATATAGAAAGCCTGTTAATGTCTCGCTGCTTAGCCCAAGCCTCTCTCCCTTTGCTTTACCAATGAATTACCGGAATCTATCTCTCCGCTCCTGACAGTTCCCCCTTTAACTGATCTGCTTGTAATGTGCTGAAGCATTGTTAGCCTTACCGAAAATAGAATGTTTACACGGAACATATTATATGCATGCAATATTTTAGACATGTTTGCAAGCTGATCAGAAATCAAAAAGAAGGAGGAGGAGGAGGAGGATCTGCAGGTCATATAAAATGGACTAATTTTCTCCCCACCCATTCATGTCTCTCAGAATAATGGACACTGTAGGCTGCACCACCATTAAACCACCTTTTTAGCTAAAAAAGGGAACTTTAAAAAAAAAATACAGCTGTTCCTTGGCACCTAAAAACTGCCATATGGGAATTAAGACTGATTAGATTTGGAATGCAACTTTAATTTGCTTTAAAGTGAACCTGTGTTTCCCTCACGCATGCCCTATATTTATCTTACGTGCATTTCAATTGCCGCTCCATTTCCGCAGGCACCAGTAGGGAAACTCCTGTGTAAGCTATGAGTCGCTGGAGTTGTAGCTTAAACAAGGGTACAAACTCCCCATTTCAGAAAGCCAATTGGGCCACTGCAGTCACATGCGGTACTGGGTATCTTTTTCAGGTTCTGGTGCTGAATGGAGTGGAAGGGGAGCAAAGGTGGTGCATATCATCTGCTTGAGATGGGGGCGGGGACACACACTCGCTAAAACAAAGCTGCTGCTGTGCCCTAAATTAAATTGGTAAAGCCCAGTATGCTTTAAAAAATAGTATTAAACTCTCAAACTTTTTTCAATAATAAATTCAAATCAAACAAATATTCATTGCACAGGAAAGTATTTCTTTACATTTTTTCCCCAAGCCCTTACAGTCATCAGGTTTACAAATAGCCAGCTTTAACTCCCTGAGCTCAGCTTCCCTGAACTTTCTGCCCTGAGCATGATCAGCTACAGCAATAGAAGACCATGTAAAAGATGTTACAGGTGGCGGAATTGTATACCTTTCCTTGCTCTCCCATGGGACTGCCGTGAGGCATTGGTGGGGAATTCATCAATTTGGTTGCATCATCAGCTTTTTTTAAAACTGTTGCACCCCTGATTTCTAGTGCATATAGGAACAAATTTATTATCCTAGTTTATGCTTCAATGTCTTTAGAAGAAGAATTGTCTCAAAACTGTCTCTAAATGGACTCAAGCATGCAGTGAACCTTCTGGTTGACAGCTAAATAGCCCTGAAGTACTTAACGGACTTGAAGGTATGAAGACTAATTATCTGTGTGATCTTCAAGAAGAGTTCAGGAGGACTTCTACACTGTGCAACTGTGTTTATTGTCCCAAATGCTGGACGCAATTACTGCACAATTAAGAAATGACACAAAAAAAGTTGTAAAACTTGTGCAATGAGTCCGCAAACATGAAAGAACACCTCAAAAAAGACAGATACCGTTAACAGAGATAAAAACAAACCGATGTGATCTTTGCAACTAAAAGATTTTTTTGCA